AGCGAAATTGAGCAAAAAACTCCCTTCCTTCCTCTCCCTCCCTCCCTCTCTCCTCTTTTCCTCTGTCCCTGTTTCCCTCTCTCCCTCTGGGCTCCTATTTATACCTTGTAAGACTCTTGGTGTAATGTTCTTTTGGAATGTATACACTTTACCCTTGTTCATTCAAATGCTGATTTCTCTCCCCCACTCTCCGGTTTCAATCTGGACATTGCATTGTGATACTTACTCTAAACATCACCTTTCTCAACTTTGTGTAAACCTGCCAAAATAAAGCAACCAGCCACAATGTTGAACAATGGAAAGGAAGCAGGAAGAGAGGGAGGAGCCAGAGGACAGGAAAGTGTGGGAGGTAGAGAAGGAGAGAAGGGCAGGAGAGGCTGGGAAAGCAGAGGCTGGAGGAGAAGTCTTGGAAAGACATGGAGAGATGAACCAGACCTAAGATTTCATAAAAAAGCAATTATAAAGGGTGAATCTGAATGTTAGGAAACTATAAGGGCTTGGAGGTTTAGGATGGAGTAACTATTGCCCAGCATTGTCTTTTAGATTAATTAAATAAATCATAGTCTCTGTGTGGTGATTTGGTTATACAGCTGTTTAGGATTAACAGCAGCTTTAATAAAAGATAAACCAATAGTAAGTATTAATCGCTGTTTACAACAGAGTCTGCACCAGGATGTTTCTCAGCTGGCAAAACCCATGCCCCCTGCACAAGCCAATTTCCTGTTGACAAGGATACACATACCCTCGAAGCTGGAAAAGATCATGAGCCTCTCACAAGGCTGCTCTCAGCTATAGACACAGCATCCCCACATCCCTCACTTGGGACTACAACAAAGACTTATCCACACAACACAACCAAAACTTGTATTACACCTGGCTGGACTGGAACTTGTTATGTAGACCTAGTTAGCAGTGGACTCTGAACAATAAGACTGCCTCTATCTATGCAGTATGGCGATCAAAGGTTAGCATGGCCATGCCTGGCCCAAGACAATATTTTTTTTTAAATATGACTGAAACCTAAAGACATGTCCAAAATTTTGATATTGTAAAAAATTCATGCTTCAGAACCATATAATCATGTTACAAAAAAATGCAAAAGTAATTTCATGATGTTTTAAATATGTTTGTAGTTTTGTGTTGGGTCACATATATAGCTATCTTGGAGCACATGTGGCCCTCAGGCCAGGACTACTTACTAGAGAAACGGGGAACTAAGAAAGGGGAGTGAGAATGGGAAGATTAGGGATATTCGGTGGAATAATACGCTCAAAATGTCATCTCTACTTGTATGAAATGTCCTATGGAAACCAGTACCATGTACACTGAATGAACCAATAAAATTTTTAAGGCGTACATACATCTTTAAAGTAAAAACTAAAAAACTTAAAAAAAAAAAAAAAAAGAAAGAAAGAAAAGATTGCATACAAGGTGGGCATGGTGGCAGCACACATGCTTGTGACCTCAGCAGTTGGGAGGTCAAGGTGTGTTCAAGAAGACCCTGTCTCAAGGAATAAAAGTTTATCTTGTAAAGTTACCTACCATTTTTACCTTCTCCCCAGCATTGTTTACTTTTGTTTCTGTTGTTGAGACAGGGTCTCCTGTAGCCCAGCTGTCCTCCACCTCAATTATTAGCCAAAGATGGCCTGAACTGGGTCTGATCCTTTGTTCTGTTCTTTTTTTTTTATTTAGTTTAATTTTATGTACATCAGTATGAAGGTGTCAGATCCCTTGGAATTGATGTTACAGACAGTTGTAGGCTGCCATGTGGGTGATGGGGAATTGAACCCAGGTCCTCTGGAAGAGCAGCCAGTGCTCTTAACCACTGAGCCATCTCTCCAGCCCCAGTCCTGCTCTTGAGTTTGGGGGTTGCCTAAACACAACACTGACTGACATTTCCACCTAACTAAAGGCTCTGCTCCTGAGCCACACCTCCTAATATGGGTTTTGATTTCTCTGCATCTACGTAATATTTGTTATTTATTACATGTCTCTGATTTCAGTCATCCTAGTGGATGTGAGTACTTTAGTTTTAAATTTTTTTAAGGTTTATCTTTATTATTTATATAGTATTCTCCCTGTATGCCAGAATAGGGCACCAGATCTTATCAGATCTTATTACAGATGGTTATGAGCCACCACGTGGTTTCTGGGAATTGAACTCAGGAACTCTGGAAGAGCAGTAAGTGCTCTTAACCTCAGAACCATCTCCCCAGCCCTAGTTTTACATTTTCCTGAGGAATTGTGGAATAGTTTTCCTGTGCTTATTAGAGAAATGATCATTCATATGCTTTACCTATTTTTTTCTTTTGCCAGTGCCAGGTATGGTGAAGAAAGCCTTTCATTCCAGCATTTGGGAGGCAGAGGCAGGTGAATCTCTGTGAGTTCAAGGCAAGCTTGGTTTACATAGAGTTACAGGACAAGTAACTATGTAGTCAAAGCTACATAGTTAGACCTTGTTTCAAAAAACAAAACAAACAAACAAACAAACACCAAAGCACTCTACCACTGAACTGTGGCGTGTGCACACACACACACACACCTGATTTTTCTTATAGTCAAATATTGTTCTCTTTGTAGCAAGAGATTTATTTATTATTGTTTTTGTTTGTTGGTTGGTTCAAGTGGTCAAGGCTGGCCTTGAATTGTCAATCTTTCTCCCTCAGGTCTCCCTTTGTCCACCACTCCCATCACTCTGTTTCCATCAGAGGCAAGCGCCACCACTCCCAGTTTAAAGATTTTTATTTTAATAAGGTTCAGTTTTTTTCATTGCTCGTTTTTTATTTTTATTTGTTGTTCATGCTTAGTCATCTATTTAATGGCTGGAGAGTTGGCTCCCTGGGTGCCAGCACTTGTTGCTCTCCTAGAGGACCTTGGTTCAGTTCCCAGCATCCACATGTTGGTTTCTGACCTCCCCTAACTCCAGGACCAGGGAATCTGAGGCCTTCTAATCTCCCAGGCACCAAACATGTCTGCAGTGCACATTATATAAGCAGACAAAATACTCACACAAAAAATAAAAATGGATTGTTGTGCCCGAATCATGATACTCCAAAAGACCGCCACCAAGAGCCGAGTCCGTTGCAAACCACATGAGCATTTTTTTATTACAAATTACAAGCTGCAGCTTGGGCTCACACCCCCACTGCTGAAGTGGTGAAGCGCTGAGAGCCCCGTACTCAGGTTAGTTGGGTGATTTAAAGATTCTGGTCCCTCCCAGCATGCCCAAGGCATTTTGAATTGATTGGCTATAGGAAGGCCCCCAGACCATTAATGATCTGGTGTCCCTCCCTAGGGAGATGGGCCAGTTTCCTAGCAACTGTATCTCTAGTGGGTGGGGAAAGAATGCAGTAAGGCAGGTTCTTCCCCTTAGGGCATTACTGGACCTCACCCAGCTAGTTCAGGCCTTAAATACCAATAATAACGGCTGATTTTTAATCTTTTGGTCTCTCAGGATAAACCCAATAAGAAAATTTTTGGCTGAGCGTGGTGGTGCACACTTTTAATACCAGCGCCAAAAGACAGAGGTAAGGAGTTTGAGACCAAGACAGAGGAAAGGTAGGAGTGTGAGACCACACAGTCTCTACCTGTGGGTCTCAAGCTTCCTACACTTGTTTTGGTGACTCCCAACTTAAAATTATTTCCTTGGTACCTCAAAACTGTAATTTTGCTACTATTCTGAATCCTAATGTAAATATGTAATATGCAGAATATCTGGTATGTGACCCCAAAGGGGTTGCAACCTACAGGCTGAAAAACACAGGTTGAGAATCTACACAGTGAGTTTCAGGACAGCCACGCTACATAGAGAGACACTGTCTCAAAAACAAACAAAAACAACAACAACAACAACAACAACAGGCACACACCTTTAATCCCAGCCCTTGGGAGGCAGAGGTAGGTGGAGTTCTGAGAATTTTAGGCTAGCCTGGTCTACAAAGCTAGTTCCAGGAGAGTAGGGCTACACAGAGAAACCCTGTCTTGAAAAACCAAACCAAATCAACCAACCAACCAACCAACCAACCAACAAAACCATCACCAACAATGAAAATCAATAAACAAAGAAACAAGCAAATAGCAAGAAAACCCTCATTACCTGCTGAGCACGGTGGTACACTCCTGTAATCCCAGCATTTGAGAGTCTGAAGCAGGAGGATTAACACCAGGGGGAGTCAGCCAGGATTACATAGTGAGACTCTCTCGAAAATAACATTGTTTACAGTATGTCATGCTCTTGCAGGCCTGTATTCCAGTTCGGTTCACAGTACCCAGCCAAGTGTTTCAGGTCTGAAATTCAGGTCCAGGGCACTGGGCATCTCTGGCTACCTCAGGCACCTGCCCTCACATCGACCTACCCCACAGACACATACACATACTTCAAAAAACAAAAAAGCAAGCTTTCAAAGAGGACAACAACAAAGCAAAAGCCAAAAGTTGTTAACCCGCGAAGGTGATCTCTTGTTTTCTAAGCTTTTTATTTGGGTATTTGGGGTTCTTGTATTTCTTTGTAAATCGTTTTCAATGATGTTACATACATAGCGTCACGCACTTTTTTTTTCTCGTTTTGCGTGGGAGTATCCTATTCCCCTGGCATTTTGCTCAAAAAGAAAGGAAGGAAAGATTACTTTGAGCGACATTTTCTTCCGGGAGCGCGGGGGGTGGGGCGGGGTGGGGATCCTTTCTTGGGTGCTCCCCGCAGTACTACAACCCCCATCAGGCACCGCGCGGGCCGTCTCCCTGCCGCCGAGGGGAAAACCGGGTCTGCCGTTGGTTCTAAAGCCGAGCGGAGCCTTCTTCCCCTAGCCCGGTCTCAGTACTCTGGCCCCCGCGGAGGCCCCGCAAGCCCAGCAGGCTCTCTCTGGCCTGTGGCTGGCCTCTGTCTCCCCGCCTCGTTGCTCCGGGTTTCTTTTCAGTTTCCCGCGGAAACGACTCTTGAAAACAACCAACCGCGGCCCGGAGTGTTGCAGCCTGGCCAACCAGAGTGGTGGGCGGTGGCGGCAACTGTGCTGTGCTTCTGGCTAGGGAGAGCCCCGGCTGCGACCCGACGGTGTCCCACGGTGCACTTGTGGGTGGGTGAGTGGGGCAGCATCCTTGCGGCTAGGGCGAAGGCATCAGTGCGACCATTCGCACCCAGCAGAAGACCGCTTCGGGTAACGGTGCTCTACCGCAGCGACAATGTCCAGCCAGGTCGTTCCAGCCCTCCCCAAACCATCTTCCAGTAACCTGGACCTGTGGAGGGAAAAGAACGACCGGCTTGTTGGACGGGCTAGGGTAAGTGAATGGCTGGGACCCACGCCGTGTATCCTCAAGATCCCAGAAAGTGGGTTTGCAATGATTTCACCCTAGCCTAGGGGAAGGAGCCGAGCTTGACATTGGTCCTTAGAACCATTGGAAAATGTGCCCCCGCCCCCTGGCTCTGCCACAAGGGAGAAGGACTGACCCTCAGTGGCTCCCTCCTAATTTCAGCAGCTGATTAAGGATTCTCGTCCTTCTCTGAGGCGACAGCAATTGGCCCAAGACACACTGGAAGGGTTTGGGGAGCTCCTTCTCACTCTTCAAGGTAAGAGAAACCTACCAGGAGGCTCGGTTCCCCTCCTCAGCAGCCAAAGATCAGCTTAGCCTCTCTCTTACGAGGTTCTGGGATTGAGGTGATTATTCTGGGGGGTTAGGAAATCCTGTTTAAAGCACGGAAGAGACTGGGTGGAATTGTCTTTCAATAGGGTAATTCCTTTTCGCCTTTCACTCCTACATGAACATGCATACTGCAACGTTTGAAGAAGTGATTTTTTTTTTTCAGGAGATTTAGAGAACCTACTGCTTGTTCCAGGTTGTCTGAGCAAAAGATGGAATGCTTAATTGAAGCCATCTTGGTTGGAGTGGGGTTGAGCGCTGGGGTGGGTTGGGTTGTTACTTCACGGGACAGCCTGTGAGACCAGCATCCTGTTGCTCCAGGACTCCCTGCTGCTGTTCCTGCTCTCCCTTTGGAGTTGACCGTCATCTGTAATTATATAATCCTGAGGGCTAGCCTGGCCCAGGACTTCACTGAAGACCTTTCCCAGGATGTTCAAAGGGGCTTAGAGCGAGGTTAGGTAGTTTCAGTCTGGATTTTGGGGTGAGGCTGGGCTGGGGTGGAGGTGGGGTTAGGGGAAGATGGGGGTTGTCGGAGGGGGCAGGTGGTGGTAGGGAGGCTATGAGCGGAACAAAACCTGTCATCTCCATGGAGACAGATGCCCTTTTCTGATCCCCCGTGTGTTCCTCAGACCAGGCAGGTGTATTATTGTAATCTTTGGGCTCTTGGAAAGGAAAAAAGAAAAGAGTCTGGGGAGGTGAGAGTTGGATGTGTGTGTGTTCTACAGTGCTAGAGACCCAGAATCAGCTGGGGCCCAAGTCGCAGCCCAGACTCAGGGAGCTGTGGCACTCTGTCCTCTCTGCTTCCTCCCTTCTACCGGAGCTGCTGCCTGCCTTACACTGCCTGGCCAGCCTTCAAGCTGTCCTATGGATGAGTACTGACCACCTAGGGGACCTGACCTTGCTGTTGCAAACCCTGAATGGCAGCCAGGTAACTGGGGAAGTAAAGATGAATGTACCTCCTCTCTTCCCATAGCTGCTGCAGTGTTTGACCTGCATATATGTATGTGTCCCTTGTTCGTGCCCATGGAGGGCAGAAGAGGGGGTCAGACCCTGGAGTTACAGAGCTATCATGTAGATACTAGGAATCAAACTTGGGTCCTCTGTAAGAACAAGTGCTCTTAGCCACTGAGCCATTTCTCTAGTCTACCCCCATCCTAAAACACACACACGCACATGCATACACACGCATGCATGCAAAATATTTGAGACAAGTCTCACTATGTAGCCTGGTCTCAGTGTAGACCAGGTTGGCTCCAAACTCACAAAGACCCATCTGTCTCTGTCTCCTAAGTTCAGGGATTAGCGGAGTGCACCGCCATGCCCAGCCTCCCACTTTGTCTTTGAAACAGGCTCTTTGTGTGTGCCCCGGCTGCAGACTGACTGCAGTCCGCCTTGCCTCGGCTTCTCCAATCCTGAGATTTACAGGTGTGAACACCGCCTAGTTCTCAACTCTTTGTTGTTTGTAACAAAATCTCAATCATTCTGTTTTACCAATAAAGACTCACTAGGCAGCTGGGCATGGTGGTGTACGCCTGTAATCTGCCAGCAAGGCAGGCAGATCTCTGATAGTTTGAGGCCACCTGGTCTACAGATCGAGTCCAGGACAGCGAGGGCTACACAGAGAAACCCTGTCTCAAAAACACAAAGCAAACAAAAACCCATACAACAACAAAAGACTTGGTAGCCAGATGCTGGGGTGAAACCTTGCTAGCTCAGAGTGGCGGAGAAAGCACACAGCTGACCTTCCTACTCTGCTGACAATCCCAGAAGGACTGTCTCTTCCCACAATTTCTCAAAAACCCTCAAATTTAATGTTCCTATCTTCTACTTCCTGTGCATCTCTCTTTCCTTCCTCCTGACTTCCTCTTACTCTCTATGGTTTTTTCTTTTTCTTTTCTTTTTTTTTTAAAGATGTTTTTTTTCTTAATAATCCTATCTTCACTTCTTATCAACTGATTGCTTGCTCCACCTCTTAATCTATGGTTGACTTTATTTAATTTTGTTTATAATACTCAAGCAGAAAGCTTTTGGGTTAAAGGTGTATGCTAGGGCTGAGCCATACCATGACTAGAAACAGTTTCTTTTCTGGTAAACAACACAGTCTTGGAGTTCACAGTGTGATCAGATATCCTGCAACACCTCTTTTTACCTTTTATTTAGAAATGAAACTTTACTAAATTTTTCATTGTAGCCTTGAACTTACTCTGTAGCCAGTGTTCAAGATCTTGAATCTCTGGTCCTTTTGCTTGACCCTTTAGAGTATGAGTAACCATCACCATTCTCTGCTTATAGCATTAGTGCATGCTGGGAAGGCTGTTGTGATAGTTGTCAAAACCAAACCAAACTAAACAGACAAAAACCCAACAGGTTTTCTTACTGACCCTGCTCTGGTTAGCTCCTTGTTGGTGGATTTTCTTTGGGGTCATTTTAAAAAACATCTTAAAATATCCAAATAAGGACAAGGCTATCATGGCTGTGCTAAACCTACCTCCCAGCCTCAATTTTCTCTTAGTAATCCAAACATCTTTCTTGTCCTTGGGCATATAAGTGACAGGGACCTTTCGCCAGCACTTTCTAGGGTTTTCTTCCTGCCCACATCACTGTTCCATCGTTCTCCTTCTCTGACTGTCCCCCTCTCTCCAGACTGAGGATCTGCTGGTACTGCTGAAGTCCTGGAACCCCCCAGCTCAGAAGTCACTTGCTCCACTGATGCTGCAGGATGCTGAGGGGTTGAGGGATGTCCTACTGACATCATTTGCCTGCCGCCAAGGTCTGGCATCCAGTTCATCCCTTCTTTCTCTAAGGGGTCCTTTGGGCTTATGCTCTTTGTAGCTCCATGGAGTTTCTCTGGGTTATGTTTCCCATCATGCTTCCTGCCACTTGAGCTTTTTCTCTGAGCGTGTACCATGATTGCCCCCAGGCCTCCAGGAGCTAGTCGCAGGGAGCCTATCCCGTGCTCAGAGCAGCCTGCATGAAGCAGCCTCGGGTGTGTGTCCACCATCTGTGCTAGTCCAGGTGTACACAGCGCTGGGGACATGTCTCCGTCAGATGGTAAAGATAAAGCCCTGAGAACTGCGGGAAACCATGGACATCGTGCTTTGTGAGGGTAGCTGAGGCTTGTATCTTTCTGCGCCCTAGGGAAACCCACAGAGAGCACTGCTGTACTTGACCGAAGCCCTCAAAGTGGGAGTCGCTTGTGCCCTTCCCCTTCTGGAGGCTTCCAGAGTGTATCGGCAACTAGGAGACACAGCAGCAGAGCTAGACAGTCTGGGGCTGCTGGTTGAGGTGAGGAGTGTGCAGGTGGAGACACCTTGTGGAGGAGTGCTGAGATGCTCGTGCTGGGGTGACTCATCCAGACGGAAGTGTGTGATTCTCAACAATTTAAATTATTTCTGGTTTTTTTTTAGGCCTTGAGTGCCACCCATAGTTCCGAAACACTCAAACTTTTCATTGAGGTGGAATTGCTACTTCCACAACCTGACCCAGCGTCTCCTCTTTACTGTGGTACACAGAGCCAGGCCAAGCACCTGCTAGCAAGTCGATGCCTACAGACAGGGAGGTGAGACCTCCCCTCTGCTTACCGGAGCCCCTCTTCCCATTTCTGATGCTTTTTTGGACATGTGATTCTATTTTTCTCTAAGATTTTATTTAGTTTTGCTATGTGAGGTATATGTGGGGGGGCCCTTCCACGCTGCTATTTTGGGGTGTGTGGAGGTTTGACATTGGGTATCTTCCTCTGTTGTTGTCTACTGTGTTTGTTGAGACAGGATCTCTTGGTGAACCTGGAGTTTTGGCTAGACTGGCTGGCAACTGGGTCCTTGTGATGTGCCTGTCTCTGACTCCTCCCTCACCCTAGGTGCTGTGCTTAATAATGTGTATTGCTGCCCTGTGGTGCTGGTGGTGCACTCCTTTAATCCCACTCTTGGGAGGCAGAGGCAGGCAAATCTCAGTTCAAGGAGTGAGTTCTAGGGCAGTCAGGGATCCAAATTCTGTCTTGAAAAGCAAACAAACAAAAAAAGTGTATTGTTGTACTTTTGTTTTGTTTGTGTTTGTTTGTTTGGTTTTTGCCTGTCCTGGACTAGCTTTGTAGACCACGTGGCCTCGAACTTACAAGATCTGCCTGCCTCTGCCTCCCTGAGTGTGGGTTTTTTATGAGAGTATTGGAGTTCTAAACTCAGGTCATCATGCTTGCACACAGCAAGCACTTTATGCACTGAACCATGTTCCCCATTTTTCTCTAGTGAGAATATTCCTATGAGTAACGCACTGACAAGATATAGGTCCCCACTTTTAGCCTCCTGCCTTAAATCGGGGTCCTCATCCAGACAGTAGCCTCTTCTATTTGAAATGCTGAAGTGCCCTTCCCCATCCATCTTGAAATGATCTATCCTGAGCCAAGGTCAGAGCTCCCAGATCCAGTTCTTCCCTTTACACTTCAGTGTCTGAGGCATCCTTCCATTAGCCAAGAGAATATTCTGGAACCTTTTGGGGAGCCAGGGTCCTTGGTGAAACTCACAGGCTGACTGACTCTCCAGGGCGGCAGATGCTGCGGAGCATTACCTGGACCTACTGGCTATGTTGCTGGGTAGCTCAGAGCCACAGGTAGGTGTGTCTTTATGGTTCTCTGCAGTTAGGTGGGAGGGTTGGGGGACCAGTTCTCTCTGCATAGTACTGGGGCCTGGTAAATAGCTCAGGGATGGTGGCTCATGGCACTTTAAGACACTGTATCCTCTTCCCACCCCAGCTCTCCCCACCCACCTCCTCTCCAGGGTCCTGTTTGCCAGAGTTGTATCTGGAGGCAGCAGCGGCGCTGATCCAGGCAGGCCGAGCCTTGGATGCTTTGACTGTATGTGAGGAACTGCTTAGCCGTACTTCATCTCTGCTTCCCAAGATGTCCTCCTTGTGGGAAAATGCCAGAAAAAGAACCAAAGAACTGCCATACTGCCCAATTTGGGTCTCTGCCACCCACCTGCTTCAGGGCCAGGCCTGGTCGAAACTAAAGGCTCAAAAAGAGGCACTTAGTGATTTTAGCCAGTGAGTCCAAGAGGACAAGACTGGGAGGTGTGGAAGGATGGCTTTCTGATGGGGCCTGGTTTGGTGGACTTTATTCTTAGTAGCTACTTAATTTCTGAGTTTTTTTTTTTTTTTTTGGTAAGATTTATTTATTTATTACTTACACAGCATTCTGCCTTCATGTGTGCCTGCACACCAAAAGAGGGCACCAAACCTCATTATAGATGGTTGTGAGCCAACATGTGGTTGCTGGGAATTGAACTCAGGACCTTTGGAAGAACAGTCAGTGTTCTGTCTCTGAGTCATCTCTCCGCCCCCCCTGAGCTTGGTTTTTTTATTCCTGCTATTTATGTTCCATTTCAGGTGTCTTGAGCTGGTCTTTCGGGTCCTACCTAAGGACAAACAAGGTGATTTAATCTTTTTTAAATTTCTCTTTTCTTTTTCTCCCTTTCTTCCTTCTTTCCTTCCTTCCTTTCTTCCTTCCTTCCTTTTTTGCCTACTTGCTTGCCTTTCTTCCTTCCTCCCCCCACCCCCAACACTGTCTCATATAGACCAGGATGGCCTCAAGTTTACGACTTTGGTCAAGGATGGCCTTGGACTCTTGTTCTTCCTGCCTCTGCCTCCCAAGTGCTGGCAATATAGGTGTTTGCCACCATGCCCGACTCTAATTTACATTAACAGTTTTTCTCAACTCTTGAAAAGTGTTGGGCATGTTAGCATACACCTTTAATCCCAGCATTCCCAGCAGGTAGATCTCTTGAGTTTGAGGCAATCCTGATTTATGTAGCAAGTGCTGAGGCAACCAGGGCTATTTGAGACCTTGTCTCAAAAAAGAAAAGAAAGAAAGAAAGGAAAAAGAAAACTGAAAACTGGGGAGGGCATGAGGAGGACGGAGACTTGGGGGTCTGGTGGCCGTGGTCTGGTGAAGGGAAGATGCTCGCTGATATGGGTGGTAGTCTGTAGGTGCAGGCTCCAAGTGTGAGCAGAAACACACTTCCGATGTGGCACTGCAACAGCTTCAAGTGACTGCACTGATTAGTCGTGGACTGGAATGGGTGGCCAGCGGCCAAGATAACAAAGCTTTGAGAGACTTCCTCCTCAGTGTGCAGATACGCCCAGGTATGTCTGCTTGCATGGCATTGACTGTATAAGAGGGCGTGGCACTAGGACAGAAGTATAAGGATGGTATTCCCAGATAGGAAGAAAGGAAGAAAGAATAAGGTTTGCTGTACATACCCAGGAGGTACCATGTGTGCACGTACAAACAAGCATGTGTGTAAGGCTCCTGGGAGTTCCCTGCTTTCCCTGTCATCCTCAGACACAAAGGCCAGGATTATGTCTGGATGGGTTTGCAGGAACAGGGCCAGGCAATCACTTTGTAGTGGGCAGGCAGGGACCTGTGTAAGAGGTCAGTTAGGTCACCTTGTTCTGGTTTCCTGTGTGTAGATGAGATGCTTCCTCTTGCTAGGTCTTGATCTGGTTTCCCTTGGGGAAAAACAAAACAAAACAATACCTAAGGTTCTATCTGGTTTTAAGTCATTATTTTTTGGGATGGGGCTATAGGCAACAGAGACGGTTCCTTTTACCTGCTTCAGACTCTGAAAAGATTGGATCGGAAGAATGAGGCCATTGCTTTCTGGCGGGAGGCCCAAACCCAGCAGCCACAGGAAGAAGCTGCCTGGTAAACTGAGTCTTGCTGGCTTGGGGCTGAGGGGGCATTGGAATCTTGTTGTTCTGAGACCTAGCAGGGGTTTTGAGGAACAGAAGGGAAGGTGGGATGTGAAGCCTTTGTCCACCTTTTACTCTTAGGTATCACCATTCTTGCTTTTCAGGTCTCTTCCATTGTATTTAGAAACCTGTTTGAGCTGGATCCGTCCCCCTAACTGTGAAGTCTTCCTGGAGGAGTTTGGGACAGCGCTGTTGGAGTCTTGTGACCTATAATCTCCTTGTTTCCAGGAGCCTGAACTTTGGCCTGTGTGGGCCATCTCTATGGGGAGGGTTTTTGGTTTGTTTTTGTTTTTTTTTGCGTATCCTCTTTGGAGAATGGCTAGAACTTATTGTTTCTATGTACACTCCACCTGTGCGGTTGGTTGGTCCTGTGAACCTTGGTCTACTTACTGCCAGTCTAGTTCCTGAATCGTTCCATCAACCAATCATTGACTTTGCTTGTGGCACTATTTTTTTCTTTTCTGTTTTCTTTCCTTCCTTCCTTCCTTCCTTCCTTCCTTCCTCTCCTTGTGTGTGTTGAGTAACATCTCATATTTATCTTTTATCTGTTCACTATGCATGGATGAATGGGAAGGCTCATGGTGGACTACTTGGGTGTTGGGTATTTAAGGTGTTCTATTCCCAGCATCCATCTTCTGTCTGCCCTCCCTGATTCCCCAACTTTTCTCTTCCCTCCCACTTTCCTTTTGGTAGGTTGGATTCTGGGGACTAAACTCCAGTTCCTCACACATAAGTCCCCAGTCCCTCTACCTCACCTACCCCATCTATCTTAGGAGCTTGAAGTGTGAGTATGAGGAAGAGGCTACATTAATCTTTGTGGGGAAAGAGTGAAATAGTCCTTTTTAAGTTATTATTAAAATTTTTAATTACTTATTTTAAGTTGTGTGTGTATGCCATCCATATGTGTGTGGGTGCCCTTGGAGGCCAGAGGTGTTGGGTTCTCAGAGCTGTAGTTACAGGAGGCTGTGACCCAGCTGACGTTGGCGCTGGGAATCCTATGTTTTCTGGGAGAGCAGTTACCTGCTCTTAACCACTGAGCCATCTCTCTAGCTCAGGTACGGAAAATCAAAGGCCAGAACCCAGGAATCTGTACTAGGTGACACAGAGTGATCTTGACAGGCCTCCTAAGGAAGAGTGGATACTTGATGCTTGAGAAGGTGGGGACAAGCGCGGTGGTGCCGCATGCCTGTGATCCTAGCACTCAGGGAGGCAAAGGCAGGTGGGATTGAGGCCAGCCCGGTCTACATAGTGAGTTCTATGTAAAAGAGGCCCTGTTAAAAACCAAAACCAAAACCAACCAAACAAACAAACAAACAAAAAAAAAAATAGATGGGGGCAGGGAGGGAAAAGAGAAACAGGTTTTTCAGAGTAACTGTCTCTAGAAACAAACTGTCTCAGGTCAGTCTGTGTAGGTGGGAGGTGGAGGGTGAATTGAGTCAGGATGCCACCCAAAGCTAATGGTCTTGACTATAATGAGAGCCAATTATCTTTTTTTCTTCTTCTTCTTTTTTTTTTTTTTTAAATTTCTTTATTTTATGTATATGAGTGTTCTCTCTGCATTTACACCTGCCAGAAGAGGGAATCAGTTCACATTATAGATGGTTGTGAGCCACCATGTGGTTGCTGGGTATTGAATTCATGACCTCTGGAAGAGCAGACAGTGCTCTTAACCACTGAGCCATCTCTCCAGCCCCCGGGGAGCCAATTATCTTTTGGGGCAGAAGAACCTCACCGCGGAGTTTCTTGCTCTTGGCAGTACTGAATTTGCTGTGTGTTCTGCAGTTGTCCTTGACCTCCTTGAACCTGAGTGCCCCCCCTCCCCAGATAATATTTATACTCTACAGTGAGGAGCATGTACTCCCAACCCTGAGAAATTGTAAAGCCTGTGTGATTAGGGTGCAGTGGCAATAGAGTGGATTAAAACAGTGCTGCTGATTCAGAACCAGGGGCCAGAGAAGGGGCCAGAGCTAGTGGCGTTTGGTAGATCGTGTCTAGCTGTGCCACACTAGCTGGCTTAAAACTCAATTCTCATGCCTTTAGCCTCTGGATCCTGGGATCTAGGGTGTACGCCACCATACCCAGCTGTTTTTGCGTGCTTTAAAATTTTATTTGAGACAGGGTCCGGCTGGAACTCTATAGACCAGGCTGACTTAAAACCTAGCCTGCCTCTGCATGTGCCACCACACACTGCCTTTAAAATTTACTTATAAAAAAATTTGCTTTTGAAATACTGTTTTGAGACTAGAATTATTGATACGTGCCACTATAGCCGACCTAGTTTTGTTTTTCAGAAAAGGTTGTGTCCTGGGTTGATCTCATCTAATAGTCCTCCTGCCTCAGCTTCTCAACTGCTACGCTTAAGACCTAGCCCATCCATCCCGCCCTTCGTTGGAGCTAGTGTTTTAAAGAAGCACGAAGGGTCTTACTGTGGTGGAGTAAGAGAATCCCTAGGTTTGGTGAGAAAAGGACTTTGTGGGTTATTCCTACAACCCGACTACACTAGTTAAGTGTTAAGCCATTGTGCCAGCTGCTTATAAAGTAAGGAGCCAATCAGCAGGAGCCAAGTAGGAGAGGCCTCCTCGAAGGATTAAAGACCTTCCTTTTACCAGACGATCTGGCCTATTGCTTTTGCCGATTGGTCAAGAATCCCAATCCGTCGAGGAAGCGTAGCGCTGCGGCCAATTGACGTGGCGTTACTAGGCGTGTTGCAGCCTTGAGGCGGGGCCAGGCCATAAACGAATTTTCCGATTGGTTACGGTCTGCGGGTTGCTGGGGAGAGGCACGGAGAGGCGGGCGCGAGTCGCAAGGCAGGCGCTGATTGGTTGAGATGAGAGCAGCTTTCCTTCCGATGATTCGGCTTTTCTGATCTCAGTCTGGGTGAAGCGTTTGCAGCCGTCGTTTGATTAGTCGCTGCCGCTGCCCCCCTCGCGGATCAGGAGCTAGCGTCGCCCGCCCGCCCGCCCGCCGCCGCCCCGGTGCTGCTGGGAGGACCCGAGAGGGAGGCTGCCGGAGGGCTCGCCACTGCCGCCGCCCCGCCGCCTGAGTGAGCCGAGCCCGGGCCTAGTCGGTCGCCTGCCACTCTCGTAGCCGTTACCCTCAGGCCGCCACAGCCGCCGACCGGGAGAGGCGCGCGCCATGGCCTCTGGAGCCGAGTAAGTGCGCGCGTGCACGGCCGCCGCCGGCGGGGGCGCGCACCGTGGGAGCCGCGGCGCTGGGTAGGCCCGGCGGGCGGCGTCTGGGCCGGGCCGGGCCGGGAGGGAGAGCGGCGGCCTCGGGCCGGCTGCGCACCCGCGCGCCCCCTAGGCCGGGCCCGCGCTGGGCCCGGGTCGGCTCCTGGGCAAGATGGTGCTGTGTCATGCAGGCCCCGGCCAGCCCGAGTCGCCCTCGCTCGGCCCGGCGGCCCGGCCTACTTAGGCCTTGGGGTCCACGCTCCCGCGCGGAGCCCTTTGGCGCCGGGACGCCGGTCGGCCATTTCGCCGAGCCCACGCGGAAGACGCTGAGCCTGCGGAGAGAAAACGCTGCGAGCCGGAGGCCCCACCGGGCCCAGTGGGCGTGGACTTGGGGACACGTGAAGGCCTCGGGAGCCCTGAGACTCCGGGGAAGGCCGGGCCGGGCGCCCTGAGCGAAGACCAAGCCGGTCTTGGTGGAGCCTGGGCCGTCCGGCCCGAAGTTGGCATCTTTTGCACCCTGGGTAGTGAGGGGCTGTTGGGGGCGTCCAGGTCGCACCTTTTTCAGATGGCAAAATTTCCCCATGGCTGTTGTAAATCCCAGGAAGCGTTATCTAGTTTTTCTTGCTCTGTTATTTTGGTCAGGGACTGACTAGAAAGGTGGTTTGCCATTTTTAAGGGACTGAAGTTAGAATCCAAGTTGTTTTTGGTTTTGCACTCTGAATTTTGGCTTTCAGACCTTTCAGGTTAGAATTGGCTTAACTCTTCAAAATACACACACCTCTTCTTCACGTACCTATGTTGAGAGATTCTCTGGGCCTTGGGACTTTCATCAAATAAAGCCTAGCCCCTTCAGCCCATTCTGTTTAGAAACTAGAGCTTCTCATACAAAAGAAAAATGACAACAACAAAAACCAGCAAGTGTAGGAAACTAAAGATTAGGTGTTTTGAGTGTTCTAACTTTCATTTCCTTGGAATGAAGTATTCATTCAGTTGTTTGGGTAAAAGGTCTGTTAGTAAGAGCCAGCGTGGGCGGGGTAGTGCACATTTTTTATCTCAGCACTTAAAAGAAAAGCAAGTTCTAGGCTAGCCTTGTCTACATCGGGAGTTCCTGTGCTACCTAGTAAGCCCTTGTCTCAAAAAAAACAAAATATTTTAAAAATATTCTGTCTTTGTTTGTTTTTATTGTTCTCTGTAGCCCTGGCTGCCCTGGAATTCACTCTGTAGCCTAGGCTGCCCCCAAACTCAGAGATCTGCCTCCTTCTGCCTTTTGAGTGCTAGGATTAAAGGCATGAGCAACCACTACCCTGTGTTTTATTTTTGAGACCAGGGCATCAAATTCAGCCATGTAGTCAGCACTGTTTTTCAGCTCCTGGTCTTGCTGCCACCACTTCCCAAAGTAATGATTTACAGAAGTGTCACAGTATGCCCCATTTATATCTAGAATTTTTTTTTTTTTTTAAATTAAAATACCTGAAATCTGGCATCATACAGTTTCTACCTTTAGGTCACTTAGTGGTTCTTATCTGAATTTCCAAGTTTCCTTTGTGGTCTTTCAGTTCTGGAAAGGACCTGAGTCATGCGCATGATGGGAGATTTCCCTAAAGAACATGGAGAGCTGCAGTTGCCCTCAGCTCTTTTGGAGGTTACCAGCTCTAGTCTCTAGGGGTAGTTGGAAAATAACAGGCCTTTAAGGGCATACCACCCATTTCTAGAGCTTGGGTCTGGACTGATAGGCAGATTGGAATTTGTCCTCAAATGTAGTTTTGAGAATAAATGTGAAGTAATAATTTGGGGCACTCCTATAAATCAAACAAGAAGATGGGCAGATTCTGGGGAAAGGCATTTTGATAAATATGGAGAAGTAAGAAATTTGGATTTACAAACATTTAATTTTAGGAACTCAGCAAGCACTGTAGCCAAAGTGACACACCCTTTGAAGTTAAAACTAAGGAACTACTCTGGGAAACTAGTGTATCTAAAGTAATTGAAGATGTTATAGCTGAGTGTGTTGATGGAATGCTTGTGTTGTAATCAGGAGGCAGAGACAGGAGGATTCCTGCCAGTTCAAGGTCATCTTGCTTTATATAGCCAGGCAGGGCTATGGATAGCAAGATCCTTTATCAAACAACAGAAAGCCAACAAAGAGTAAGATATTCCCAGTGGCAGTGCTTTTTTTGTTTGGTTTTGCTGTCTCATCTCAGCTCCTAGAATAATGTGCTTTGTAGACACCCATTTATGATTACTACTGTTATTAAAACAGTCTTGCTGTGCAGACTGAGCTATGCAGCTCAGGCCGGTCTGGAGCTTTCTGCCAATTGCTGAGATACATACAGGCATGAACTATACTATGCCTGGCTTTCATTAATTTGTTGAAGAAATAGTTTTTTTCTCCACTTCATTTGCTTTTTCCATCGTTTGACCTTTTTTTGTTTGTTTGTTTTTTGAGACAGGTTTTCTCTGTGTAGCCTTGACTGTCCTGGACTCATTTTGTAGACCAGGCTGGCCTCAAACTCACGGTGATCACAGATTAAAGGCGTGTGTTATCATGCTCAGCTTTGACCTCTGTTCTGGTTAATATTTATGTTTTTCAAACCCTTAGAAGAGAATTGTGTGTGTGTGTGTGTGTGTGTGTGTGTGTGTGTTTCTGGTAAGATAGAGTCTCTCACTATGTACTCTGTACACCAATCTGGAGCCAGACCCAAGTCTGCC